CTCTTCCTATCCCTCCTTCCCAGACTCCAGTATCCTCCGTTCTACTTTTTCCTGAGCTCTTGGCCAGAGTAATAGGCCCATAGCCCCAGCCCCAGGCCCAAGCCGGCTATCCCACCGTGTGCACACGCACCCCTGACCTGAGAGAGATCTCGGCAAGCCCGCTCCTGCAAAGCTGCGCCATCTCCACGGCCTCCACAAACTCTCTCAGGCTAGGCCACTGACCCAAATGTCACTATTGTGGACTACAGCTGAAGAAAACTACACAAAGATGAAACTTTTGTTTAAAATGAATTGCTTCCGCCATTTGATTTTAGCTTACATAACCAAAGCTACTATTTTTCTTATTTCTTCTTTAAATATCAGAGACTGTGTTCCATTTTTTAAAAAACTGCAGAAATGTGATTTCCCTCTCTGTTTCATGAAAACTTTTGAAATTTTACTTCTGCCATCCTCTATACTGTTATGAAATTTTAAATCTAAGATCTTTCACATTTATGCTGCTTATTTGAAATAGCTCTGCAAGGCCAAATTCAATAATTGACAATTTTTCAAAAAATTAAGATAAATACTAATAATGAACACTTACTTATACCCAAATGGTAAAAGAATTTCAAGACTGAGTATATTTATTTATTTTTTGGCTAACTTGCCCTGCAGGAGCCTAGTGTCTCTCACATCTGCTGCCTAAAGGCCTCTAGACCAAACTAGACAGTTACCACTTGCAAAGCACTAGAGATCGTCTAATCCAGCACTTCCTCCCCTGTTCCATCCCAAGAGAGAACGTAACGTGCCCTAGATTAACCAGGATAAAAAACTGTGCTTCCTGACGCGTGGGGCAAGGACTTTTCACTGTGGAGCTCATCTCTCATATGATAGGAATTTAAGTTTTAATCCAATTAACAGACCACTTTAAGGGGCTTCTGGTGCTAAAACACTGTGCTTTCATTTAAAAAAAAATGAGTTTTGAAATTTTGTTTTGTTTTGTTTCAATTTAAAAAATAAACCTTATGTTTTTGGACAGTTTTAGATCTACAAAATAGCTGGAAAGATAGTACAGAGAGTTCCTATATACATCTTATCCAGTATTAACTACTGCTAGTACCTTGTGTTAGTACAGGAAGTTTGTTGCAGTTAACAAGCCCAAACTGATACATTATTAGTGACTAAATCTATGCTTTATTCAGCTTTCCACAGGTTCTCCCAAATGTCCTTTTTCTGTTCCAGGTTTCCATCCAGGATGTCATGTTACATTTAATAGTTATATGTCCTTAGGCTCTTCTTGGTTGTGACCCTTTCTCAGGCTTTTTCTGTGTTTGATGACTGTAACAGTTTTCAAAAGTACTGGTTTGATACTCTGTCCCTCAATTGATATTTTTCTGATATTTTCCTTATGATTAGACCGGGATAATGTATTTTTAGGAGGAAGACCACAGAGGTAAATTTTCATTTTCATTACATCCTATTAAGGACACATCCGACCAGTACGATTTACTGCTGTTGATCTTGATCACTTGGCTTGAGGTAGTGTTTTCCAAATTCCTCTACTGTAAAGTCACTTTTTAAAAAATCTCCCTTTCCATACTCTTTGAAAGAAAGTCACTATACATTGTCCAAAGTTAAAAAGCAGGAAGTTATTCTCTTACCTCCTTAAGTGGGGAGTATCTGTATAAATTATTTGAAATCTGTCTGCACGCACATTTGCCTGTTCTCATCCATTCATTTATGTGATCATTTATTTTTATCCATATGGACTCATAGATATTCATTTTATACTTAAGTAATGATCCAATGCTGCCTTATTTATTTTGTTGTTCAAATTGTTCTAGCTTTGGCTACTGACAGCTTTTTCAGTTAGCTCTTTTATCCCTTTGACAAACCCCATCATCGTGTGTGTGTGTGTGTGTGTGTATGTGTGTGTGTGTGTGTTTGTGTTTGTGAGCACTATCTTACTTTCTGGCACTATAAGATGCTCCAGCTTATCCTGTATATTTTCTCCTTCAGTCCTAGGATCAATCATTTCCCCAAGAGCCCTGGTTCTTTCACTGGAGAGTGGTACTAGAAACTGAGATCTGGATGGTGGATATGTTTGTTGCTTCTGAGTATCATTGCTTCTAAGCCCTCTCAGCTGCCAGACCAGAGAAATATTAATATATGTGTATATAA